CCATTCCCCCAAATCCCTAGACTCCTGTGTGTGCTTCCCCACTCAATACCTGCTAGTTGTGACACATATGCCCTGAATGCTATACATAAGAGTAAATGAAAAGATGAATTTAAAACAATGCTGTGATTTTAATAAGTGATCTTTCATAATTGTACAGTATATTTCATATGTAGCGAAAAGGCTAAATATGTTCCATTCAAGTAATAAGCCTCAATACATGATTGCAGGAAATGTAGTAACAATATTTAATTTACCTTCAGCAATGTGAAATGTCAAATTAAATTTTAATAACAAGCATCACATTTTCCCTTTTGTTAATCTACATGAAAAAACTAAAGAGCTTCTCAGTATTATAATCCTATTATTTATCCTATAAAGCGCATCACTTTATCACTGTTGAAATTAGCTGTGTGTGTTTTGCAATGCAGCAGTAAAAGCTTTTCCTTTGGCTGTGTCCCAAACACAGTTTTGCATCTGTAATAAAAATGGAATATTAAAATGATGATAATTATTCAGTTATGAAATATTAATTATTGAATACAATCTCTGAAAAATTATCACAAAGATTCTAATTTAAAAAGCAGGTTAGTGTGTTAATGGCTCTTGTCCTTTAACATCCTCCAAGCCCATTCTAATGTGCTACATGACATGTCACCTGATGTAGTGCAACAGCTCATGGCTCATGCTCATGGACACTTCTGCTTCTGTTGTTTGCTACACATTTTACATGGTAAAATTCCTGTTTTGTGTTATCAGTTCCCTTATGTTAGTCTTAAGGTCAGTAAAATAATCATTCAGCTTCTTTATCTGGCCCCAGTTGCTAAACATGTAGTTGATGTAGGCGTCCAATGATTCGGGACAAAATTCATCCTTAGAAGGCGTACTCTTTCCAAGCTCTTCGTCATAAACAGAACAGTGTGGGTCTGAGCAACCAAATGCCGCACAGATACGCTGGCTCTTAATGAAGTACAGGTTAGTGTGTTTATAGCTCTTGTACTTATCTAACAAGTCCTCCAAGTGCTTTCGATAGTGATCCACCATGTTGCGGACAGAAGCTACTCGAACGTCAAGGTTCTTTTCTTTCTTCGTTCCATATCCCGCCATCATGAGCCGCGCCTCGTGGATTAGCATCTGCGCATGGAACGCCGCGCCATTGGCCCAGATCTTCATGGCGCGGGAGCTCATTTGGCCGTCCTTCTGCATGGAGTTCCTCAGACCGGTCAGATGCCTACTCAGCTGTTTCTCCAGACATTTGGTCTCTTCTAGCGCCTGTTCTGGTTCCCACACATACTTTTGGAGGCGTTTCAGGTACTCGTCCATGGAGTCTCTGACCCCCGAGGCCTTTTCCTCAGCGAAGATCCGGTCTATCATGTTCAGGGGGCTGTCCTCGGGAGCCGTGACCAAAGAACTGACCGTGAGGTCTAATAGGAAGGAGATGACCAACGCGCCCAATCCAACTGCATTTGGTACATGTTTGAAAGCAGATAAAGAGGAGCCCAGGTCGGTCATATAGTCTGGAACTTTGCTCACCAGGTCACTGACCATCTGAGAACTGTGCTGTTCTAGTACAGCTGTTGAATCCAGTCCTGAGTACATCAGTAAGGAGCTGTCGATTGTAATATCAGGAATCACACCATGTGTCTCAGCTATACGGAACATCTCTGAGATCATGATCTCTTCCTCTTCCTTACTGTAACCGTAACCCATGGTGATGATCAGAGAGCTCAGATGCAACGGGGAGGAAAAGTAATAATACTGTGCTCCGTTTTGTTAAGATGAAGAGGATTAAACTAACTTGTGGTTCAGGGATGGGGTGGTGTTCGCAGAAGAGTGCTGGTCAGAGCAATGGAATCACAGTCAGGGATGTTGTTTTTCATTAAGTTTACTTCTTCAAAGCAGCAGTTAGCAGTACAATAATGAAACAGTGTGCACAGGCCAATCCAGTATGTTTCTCATTAAGTAAACTGTAGCTGAAATAACTCCAACTCCGTGTGGGTGTGGTTCTAAAATGAATACAATCGAGAAAAACAATTACTAAACATTACTTAAGCGTGAACCTATGTACGATAGTTAGACCATTTAGCCACTAGGTGGCGGCACAGGATCACGAATGAATCTGCATGTAAAAACCCAAGGGTGTTCTCCCAACATCCGCGAATAACAGCTGTAATAAAGTTATAATCTCAGCGAACAGGATTGCAGCGTAATATAAAGTTACGTGAACATAACATGGTGCAGAAAACTACCATATAAACGATCGGGCAGAATTATATGAACACCGTGCATCCAGAAAATAAAAAAATAACTACATCAAATACGGGAAGCATATTATACTCACTGAATGTAATGAACGCACATTCGTAATCGTGGGCAGGGAACTATTATTAAAGACATTAATGGAGAGGTAACGGCGAAGTCCTCTCTGGAACGCGGGAGAACTGCAGCCTTTCCTGGGAGCTGCTGTGAACCACGTTACATGTCGCGACAGCGCTGCAACAGACTAACGCAGCTCCGAATTCCGATACTAGCCTACTGTCAGTGCCTGTGGCTGGCTGGTCTGCGGTACCAGCGCCGTCTGCGCACGCATGCGCACATTGGTTTTCCGTGTACGTCACTATTTGATCTGTATACTGACTGCATGACCGATAGGCGGGCGCATGCGTAATGCACTGACGTCCGCGAACACAGCGCAAAGCACCGACTTCTGTAAACGCCTGCCTGATTATGTTTTGACATTACAAAACAACGTTACGTATTTGACAGATCACACAGTAATTGGTAATCATTGGTTTACTCACAACTTAGACAAGCACAGACAATAATATATTTGTAGAAAAATGGAATGCAGTAGAATGTCTTATTCTAAGCGAGTGTATGCTACAATTTCTTTTTCACATGGCCGCATACATTGAATGCCACTAACAGTTACAGTTGTTGGAATATACATAAATGAATCAGATAAATATTCACCTAAAATAAGTTCAACTACAATATTCCCAATAAACAGACTGAAAAGTGGATGTTGATCCTTTTGTGGACTGTGTCTTCAATATTTAAATACTGTCTATATAATGTTTTGTATGCTGTGTATATTTAACTAACAATACATTTCCCATATATTTTGTCTTACACCAAGTGTCCATGCTTAAAAGACTCACTCTGTCAGGACTGCTTCTTAGAATCTTGGTTCCTCTCACATTTTCTTTGCTGTATTTAAGCTGCGGGGAACTGTGGCCCTCCCTAAATGTTCTTATTTATGTTTTGAGAAGTTATCAAGATCTTCATAGTGTAAGCAAAACAAAATTATCACTGTGTCAACCTGAAATGGTGCATTATATATAGCTCAGATGTATATAAGGAATGAAACAATAACAGAAGAAATACTGCAAATGCAAATCTAAGCAATACAAGGATATAATAAAATATTAGGTCAGTGTGCATATAGCATTAGCAGTGGTAAGTTCAAGATCAATTTATCTTCAGGTTGTGTGCAACTCATTTATTGTGCAAAGTGAAGAATAAGTGAAGAGCAAAAACACTATGAGGGTAGTCAGTANCAATTTATTGTTATTTCCAAAAGGATACCATTCATAGTCTCAGAACTAAATATTTAAAATTTCCCTTATCTCCCAAAATTAAAGAAATTCATTTTAAAATTTTAAATGGAATATATCCATCCAATGAGTGCTTAAGACTTAGATTTGGATTTGATACTAACAAATGTATATTTTGTGATGATATTGAAACTGCAGATCATTTGTTTTTTCATTGTATGTATGTAGAGGCATTATGGTTGGACATCCATGACTGGCTTTATTCAAAGGTACGGAACCTTGATAACTTCACCTTAAAGGACATTAGCTATGGACTTGTAACGAATAATAGTAAAGATGATCTTTTGGTAAATAACATCCTCATGTTGGGTAAATTTTATATCCGTAAGTCAAAATACTTGAAAGTAAAACCATCCTTTTGTGCATTTCATAATGAGTTTATTCTATATACAAAAGCCCTAAATGTGATGAAAGGTAAAAATGCTGTAATTTTGTTTTCAATTCTTATAGAATATGATTTACAAGAGAAATTCTAGCCCCTCTGTATGGAGGTCTTCTCTTTTTTTTTCTTTTCTCTATCTGTTTTTATTATTATTATTATTATTATTTGTATGCACCTGTTTTGTAGTAATATAAAGGTGTTTGATTTTGCCGAGTTGTTTGTATATGAATGATTGTTCAATAAAAAAAACAAAAAAAACTCTGAGCACATGCGCAGTCTAACGCTGGGAAAGACACACGCAGGCGCACATGTATATTATGCCTGAACCGGATCCGGAAGCTACGGATCCAGTAGGGTGTGTCACTACTGAAAATGTTACACCTACCGAAAATGTAACTTTCCTTAAAGAAGAAAAACTACGATTCGAAGAAGATCTAACAACAAGGGACAAGGAAGCCCGCAACAAGCTATGGCGCCAGATTGAGGAAGCACGCAAGCAAGCAAGGAAAGAAAGCGTTTTTCATAGGAGCCAGGGCCGTTATTGAAGGGAAAGAACTTCGAACATAATTTGAAATTATTTATGGTTATTAATGTCGATCGTTCCCCTCTGTAAATTACCTTGAATTTAGTCTATTTTTTTTGTTTTCCATAGTGGCAGGTAAGATTTATTCTAAACAAATGGTTTCTTTGTTTTGTTTGCAAGGTGTTTTGAAGACCATTTATATCTTACTACATTCTATATGACTTTATCAATATATTCCTTTAATGTTAGGGATATTCGTGAGCTAACCAAGAGGAAAGCTATTTTTTTATTTTGCAAAAAAATTAAATCTGCCCTGAATGTTTTACAAGAAATACATGCTTTAGCATTTGACTTTAATTTTTGGAAAACTCAATGGGGAGATAATATATGGATGGCATATGGAAACAACCATTCAGCAGTAGTAGCAATATTAAAGGGTTCCTTTCGAGGGAAAACTCTTAAATATATAAATGATGAAAATGGCAGATGGCAACTTTTGGTTATAGACTATTTAGATATCATCTTTATTTTAGGCAATATATATGGGTATAATAGCAATTCAAAAAACAAAATTCTCTTCCAAAAATTTGAGGAGGAAATCAATGTTCTTTTATATACATTTAAGAATGCTAAATTGATATTAGGAGGTGACTGGAACTCTATTACAGATCCTACCAAAGACAGTTTTCCTGTGCGCTCCTTAAATGGTATGTATGGAGAATTCAATAACTTGTGCTTACATTTAAACTGTTGTGATGTTTGGAGAATTAAGAATCCTCATCAGATTCAGACTTCAGTTCACTTGGAATAACAAAGATTTATCAAGGAGATCGAGGATTGATTTTTGGATTATATCTGAAGAATTGGTTGACAAAGTCAAAGAGGTCACAATTAATCCTTCTATATTT